AAACTCCGTGATGCCTGGACCACGGCCTTGCCCAACACAAGTTGTAAATCTGAGCACCGCCGGGAATCGAACCCAGGACCCCAGTATTACAAGCCCAGCGTTCTAACCGCTAGACCACCATGGTGGTTGGTGCCCTTGTGAATAAATTATTATAAAGGAATCTTATAATATGTATACTGCTGTGGGCAGGGCTTGTTATTGCCGTTCACTTATCCTGTGTGAGTTAATTTTGTGAGCTGATGTGCAGAAATTTAGAAGTTTATGTTATTGAACTTTGATTCAGTTTTTGTTCTTTCTCTTTTTTAACTTGGTATTAATATATTGGCAGCACCTTCCCTGCTACAGAAAAACCTCAGTGTAATGAACTGTTACAGACTGACAAATTGTTTTTGTAGTAATGAAACTTTGTTTTAATGAAAGTTAATAACACAAAATTTGTTTTATAAAGGTCATTGCATTACATTCAGATATCTATATAATGATACTGATGTCTCAAAGCAATCAGAATTATCTTGTGTATTTATGTGTGATGATATGTTTGCTGAATGTTTGAAATTGTTTTCTTTGGTAGTGAAAGAGCTAAATGATTGATCTCTGTGCACAGTGCCAAGCCAGCCAAGTAATCTGCGAACAAGTGAGGTGGGAGAAACATCTGTCACACTTCAGTGGAGCCGGCCAGCCCACGCAGGAGAAAACATTGTTAGCTATGAACTGTACTGGAATGATACATATGCCAAGGTACCTTTACCTGCAGACTGTTATTGCATATTCTACAGCTCTTGTTAAACTTATGATCTAAGTGCACACAACATGTAACTTACTAACTAAACTCGATGAAACATTGTCTACCTTATGAAGCTAATAGATGCTTACATAGTCAAACAGTTTCTTTTGTCTTTATACATGTTTTAAACCGTGTCTGTCGTAGGAGAAGCATCATCGACGTATCCCACTTGTGGAGAGTTACAATTTTAAACCGTGTCTGTCATAGGAGAAGCATCACCGACGTATCCCACTTGTGGAGAGTTACACATTGACTGGCCTTTACCCAAACACATTATATTATGTGTGGCTGGCTGCACGGTCACAGCGTGGGGAGGGGGCAACGACGCCGCCAATACCTGTCCGAACCAAGCAGTACGGTAAGACAGAATGGGCAACACTACGAGCGGTTTTGTAGTGATCGCTCGTCCATAACCTGGCTAACACGTGGTTGTAAGGCTCATCTGCTGCAACACACTGTCAATTCTTCTATTGATATGTGTTTAATATAGGCTGCTTCAAAACCATACACACTGGTCTACTTGCTTGATTTGTGCTTGGAAAGTAAATTGGGACCACATCTGCGAAAATTCCGTTGTTCTGCCTTTGGTTTGCCTTTGAACATTTTACAGAACACTCCGAGGGAAGCTTGACCGTTCATCTGCTACCTTAGATTTGCAAGACTGTTCAATAAAAAGTGATTAGACATAACAGCAGAAGTATTGAAAACTAGTTTCACCATAGTAGTACCATCTTATAACACATGTAAGAATTGTGTGCAGCTGAAAACCAGTATCTATATATCAGCCAGATCCTGTGCTGCATAGAATGTTGCTAGAAATGCCACATGAATACCCAGTGAATTTAGCTCTTTTTTTTCTTCCTTTTTTCTGTATGCTATGATTTTGTCCCTTTCATGTGTAATTAATGATAGGCTATCCAGGAAACAAGTCACTTATTCAGATAAAATGATTCCATTCATTTTTACATTTTGCTACTGAAAATTTGGAGGAAAATATTGGATATGCTAGACCAGGTACATGTGGAGTAAATTCTAGTTCTGTATGGTTTTGAGCACCTATATTAACAGTGACCAAGTAATGTTGCTGTGCCAAAGGTAAGTAGCAAATGCAGAACTGCCTATTGTGTGTATGAGGGCAATATCTCTATTGTAGCACTTTACCATCTCACAACTATCAGTATAAAAGGCTCTACACTCATTTTACCTTGAGATAAAAAGAAGCTTACAGCTTATCATACAAGCATTGTGGATAGTGCAACAGATGCCAGTAAGAATTCTGAAGAGCTTTCATTTTTGTTCTTTCTTATTCTGTATAAAATATATAAACATTATGAATTAAGACTTTATCAGTTTATATTGATGATAAAGACTTACATTTACCTAGTAGTTGGAATTTAGATGCAGTTCTATATGAACGAACATTTTCTCTAAAAACCAGTACGACTTTCCATAGATTTAAATTTATTCAATTTTGATCCTGTTTTCATTTATGATCTTGCAATTGTCTGTATTTATTCAGGCATCTGGTTATAAATATATTTATATGTATTACATAACAGCTATGCTATTACAATATGATTTACACACATACATCTTTATTACATTCCATGGATCCATAAGATTACAATAGGATGTGGAAAAAGTCATTATTATAATACAATGCTTATTACAAAGTACAATTCATACTATTATATAAATTTCATATAATACAAACAAATGGTTCACCTAAAGTAATGATAAGTTACAAATAAATCTACCCATTGCATGCAGAAGATAAATTATCACTTACTTGTGAACAATAAAAATTTGGTGGTCATGTCATATTGAGGGCAGGTTTAATGATTGAGCTATGTCAGCTGCAAGATGGTTATTGTTTGTCACTTGCTCATGTGTCCAGGCTAAGCAACTTTGAACTTGGTCATTTGTTGTGTCCGTAGCCAAGTCTGTGAACTGTTCTTCATTTGCCTACTTCATGTCTAATGAGGGTTGACACTAATATCATAATAGCATATGGAAATTACTTTCCCAAAAGTACATAATCACTTCTGACAGATTCATGGATATAGAGGTAGTCCTCAATTTACGCCGGGGATGCGTTCCTGGACGAACCAGCGTAAACGGAATTGGCGTAAATTGAAACTCTTTTATAATGTAAATCAATGCGAAGTCAATGACATGCGTTCCCAGCACCCAAACATTGACGAGTAATATAGTGGCATTGCATCTAAAGCTCTGAAATAACGTAAATAAAATAAAGGGAATTTAAAAAAATATATTTTATACACTTACAGTCGGCAATTTGTAGGTCCCCGTGATTGACTGCGATTCTTTCATGTGATTGGTGTGTTATACGATAGTTGCATTCATGTAAGACGCCGACCTATAGAAAACCGTTAGTAAAAATAACCGCAGTACCTTCGCAGACCTTTGAAAGTTTAAAGCACCAGGAATGAAATTGCATAAGAGCAAACTCGCATATGCAAAAGTTTGCATTTCACAAACAGCTTTTACCGATTCATCGATCTCATTGGAGCAAATTCGAGTTAATGAAACATATGTAATTGCAGAGATGACTGTATTTATAATTTTTATTCAAAATCAGCGATGTAAGAATTACGATTTAGTATAAGAATCAGTACGAGATACATTGTAAAACGTTATAAATAATAGTAAAATTTTTTTTTTTCACTTTTTGACTTGCTGGTTTCAAAATCGGCGTTATTTTGAATCGGCGCAAATCGAGGGCTACCTGTCTAACAGCGTAGTATTGGTTCCAGAGATAGCGTATAACATCCAAACATGATACTACAGATTAACTTTACCAACACTTCTAAATGGTAGTTATGTTTACAGTAAAAGGTTCTTGGAAAGTTACTAATTGGAAGACCAAGAAGATGGGAGGTTACCTTTAAGTTCAATCTTACTTAAATGGGTTGTAAGGACAAGAAATGTGTGAAACTTGAAACTGTCTGTGGTTAATGTATTGTGGCAGGCTTTGGTTTTGTCACCATTAAACCTTCATGTTTAACTGCTAGAATGTATAAATAATTATAAAACAAACATATTAATGTGTCTAATTAGAGGTCAGGAAACTATGTTTGTGTTTAAAATGAGATGAAGTAATTATGTAATGTTTGAGTGTTTTACTCTTCATAATTCTTACTGGTACACGGCAGATGTAACATTTAGCACAGTAGTTGACACACCACAGCCGTATCACTATAAATACAAATAACAGATGCCACATCCGCCCTTCACTGTATCCCATCACTTTCACTGTATTGCTGAGACATTAGCCACCCAGATTGATTGATTGATTGCTGTGTAAAATTCACTGTTTGTGTGTATTTGTGAACATCACCAAGCATTGCATGTGTCACATATTGGAATGTTTGATATATATTAATTTTTTTTATTATTATTATTGTTCAATGGCTTAATTTTTCACTGTTCCAGCACAGCCTTGCGTATTCTAACACCACTGCACCAGTTTGCATCGTTTTAATTGTGCATTGTGTGGGCACCATACAACCATATATTATATAAAGTAATAATTATTTTTTGAATTACCATAATATTCTCACACCACCACTACCATCACCAATGTTTTGTATTAATGTGTGTGAGAGTGCGTGTGAGTGCGTGTGAGATGCACATTTAGAAGCAAACTAATCACATTTCTTCTTCTCAGAACTAAAAAGCAGCAAATAGAAAAGTACACAAAAATTTTTTATAACAATTTCTACATTACGTACCATAACCTATTTTTTTGGTACGCAGCATTTTTTATATTCTCCTTTATTCTCCACGTTGGGTTATATTATCTAGACCTGTCATTGAAAAACAATCTACTCTTAAGACAATACAGATTGCTATTGGAGAGAGATAAATCAGTATTGTTATTATTGTGTGTTAGTAGCATTTTTTAATTACACCAAGCAAGTTGTAACAGTTATCAGCTGTAACTCACATAAAACTTCTCATATTTATGTAACTGGTATACTCCTTATCTGATCAAATGAAGGATTAAGTGATATGTAATTAAAGCTTCAGTTCCTTTTTGTACTTCTTTTTACTGAAGAATGAATTCACATTTTTGCAAACTACTTTAATTTTATTTTGTTATATTGAATTTTAAATTAGTAGGTAAAAAATGCACAGATAGCACTATTTGTTTTATCTCTCTTCATTCTCATTTTATACTATTAAATCATCAAACATCACACTGCTACCTTAAGACTGATTAAGTTTTGTTCTATACAGTCTTTTCTTCTTCCCTTGTCCCTGTCAGCTACATAGTGATCATAGATTACCTTTTCCTTTCTACACTTTGCACATGTACACAAGTGAACACTGAAAAGGGGGCTATCTGTCAGTTGATTACGACTATGGCTTATATTATAAGCATTTGCTCCATGGTCTTGATGCTGGAATTTGTAGCATACCTTGTGTCCAAACTTTATATGCTTCTTTCCTTATCCAGGAAATTTTGAGCAACAGCTAATACTATCTGCATTATAATCAGTGAGTTGGAACCTTAGATCTTGTTGTCTTTATTGTTTGCTGATACATTGATTCTTGGGTTATTGAATGATGTTGTTATCAACTTATGAGGCTGTAAAGCAATGAATTAAATATACTCCAGCGGTTAGAACGCTGGGCTTGTAATACTGGGGTCCCGGGTTCGATTCCCGGCGGTGCTCAGATTTACAACTTGTGTTGAGCAAGGTTTCCCCGGTTTCTCCATGGCATCCCAACAATTACTCCACTTTCATCATCTCGCAAAAAGGGGGTCACAGCAGGAGCGTTAAATGTCACGGTCCCGATCGAACCCATGTACTGATGGGTTGTGAATCCTGCTAATCACCAATGCACACCATGCTGAATGATGTGTACTGGACACAAAAAAAAAAGAATTAAATGGGGAGATGATACTGCTGAATAGAACTAGTCGAGCATTAACCTGAAGACGTTGAGAAATATTACAGGTTAACTGGTAACCCTGTCAAGGTGTGAATCAGGCAACCAGGCACTTCCCAAATAGAAGACCACTCTACTTAATGAGGTGATGTAACTTCAAATGAAATGTGGTAGAAAGGTTGTGAATGATCATTTCAGAGGGATGTGAGAGGACGTGGTTGTAGCATAATTCAACATGCTTTCCCTAAATTTCCTCACAGGAATTAGCAAATGAAACGCGTGGTAGCTGAACATTGCCAGAATGCTGTAGCTATGCTGACCTGGTCTGTATCTTGGGCTAGCATATATTCCATTCTTACAATTTTATTGAGTGGTATATTGTATTCTCACTTGATATTGAAGCAATATATTTGTTTGCAGATATGGGACTGCATTCTAAAGTGTAAACAGTTTATTGTTGCCACTTGTCAAGAAAACCTTTTACCAAACTTGTTTGACAGATAACAGAGCAGTGAATTTTGAAGGATATGAAATAAAGTATGTAAATTATTATGCTAAAATAAAAATAAAGCTATATTTAAATTCAGAGTTTTTTTTTAAGTTTTGTTATGTTAGGTACCGCATACTCTGAAGTTAAGGTGAGCTGACAGCAGATTTGTTAAAAATATAGTTAGCTGGTTGGAATGCAAGGTTTTACCTGCTTAACAAATCCAGTGTCAAGATCCAAGGAATGGGTTTTATCCATTGAAAACTGGAACACTTTTAAATTTATTATGAGGCATGGTTTGATTGAATTGTTTGAAGGAAGTTCAGATGAAACAGGGCAGTGTTGAGGGGTGAATAAATAGTATTCCATGGATTTTGAAGTGATTATTTGGTGCTAAAATATTCTTCAGTTGGGTTGTATTCTTCTTTCTGGTCTGTCTTGCAATTTAAAACATATTGCATTTGAAGGTTTTAAGAATTGTTGACAGGATTGGTTTTCATCTGTTTATATCTTCCAGTTAGATCTGTCTCTTTTCTTGGGTTAAATATATCTTCTGTTAACTATCACATTTAAATTTGTTGTGCAGCAGTAATAATGTTGGATTTGGTTCTGTTTAATTCTGTATTAATTCTTTCTGTGGCTAATTTATCACCAAATCAGTAAGTTCATCATTAGTCACCATCAATGTAATTGAGAAATAATTGAGTTGAATCCTTGGTTCAGGTTTGTGGTTATCAGTTTATAGGATTTACAGTTTGACTTTCTTTCTACTGTTCAGTCTTGGGATTGAGGTATTTGTTAAAAATACTTGAATTGTTTTAGAATGATGTAACCGATAGTGTGTCTTCACTGAATTTTATTTCAATAAAATTTTAATTACAAAGACATTGTTAATTGTGGAGCATAGAAATATACACATGTTTTCCTTCTACTATGAGACAGAATCTCAGGGCTCAGTGAGGACAATAATATGTGTGATACAAAACAGATCATTGCTCGTTGCTGTACATTGTTTTTGGAACTTGAATATGGGTGGGTGTTATAATGTTGAAGACAGTGTTAATTGCCTTCACATGCAACACTTGATTTGTGATATTTACTGTGTAGTTAGGAAGAAATTCCATCTCTGCGGCTTGTTATACTTGTATCTTTACCAGATGTTTTGTTCCAAACTGTATTATGACAGTAATTTCTTATTGAAAAAAAACTAAGTGGGTAGTTGTGTGGTCATATGGGTGTGGCAGGTATCACACACATTGCTGATAGAGTGTCAGTTATTAACTGCCTTTACTTTCTTCCCAAGGTAATGTATAAAGTTGCCTTGTGTCTTAAGCACTTGTAGGTGGAGATGATTGGCTATTTTGATGTTCTGGGTGCTTTGCCCTAGGGTGAAAGTTTGTTACCATTTTAATACAGGTTTTTGTTACATTAGGATTCATATTTTTACGCAGAAAACATGGAGGGAAGATATGGACTGGATTCACCACGCTGAGGACAGGATCCAATATTGAGATTCATTTCAAGTGTTCGTATTAAGGCTCAGAGACTTTCTATATGGGTGTAATTATGTAAGGTTTTCTTTAATTGTCTTATCCTAACAAGGAGCATCAGAGAAGTGGTGAGGTCACAGTTACTTCTTTGTCTGTGAGTTTATGTTTGGGAGTGAGTCATCATTCTTAATACTTGAATTGGTCAGTTTGGAGGTTTTGTCACATGTTTGTCATCATTACAAGCCTTTCATTTGTTCACTTAATAGGTGTCACTCTCTTTTCATCATCTACAATATTTGCATCACAAGTTTTTTAAATATGATCCTAACGTGTCATCTCTTAAAAAGACTTGCATCTGGGCAGTGGTTAGGTTAGGAATTTCCTTTGGTGAAGATATAGTATTTGGATATGTCATTTGGGTTGTGTTGAAATGTGTGGTGTCCCTCCCACCCCAACTGTAGTGCCCGGGGCACCCCCCCAGAACGTGACTGGGGAAGCAGTGGGTCCGACATCAATCCGTGTGTCGTGGGACCCACCACCTGCAGAGCGCAGCAATGGTCGCATCGTGTACTACAAGCTGCAGGTCGTGGAGAATGGACGTTCAGACTCTGAGGCTGCTGTGATCACCCTCAACGCCACATCATTCGTGCTGGATGAACTCAAGAGGTGGACAGAATATCGCATCTGGGTGCTGGCGGGCACTAGCGTCGGTGATGGGCCACCCAGTTTTCCCATCACAGTGCGTACTCATGAGGACGGTACGTACATCATCAAAACAACACCCCCGGGCTGAGGGTTGCGGTGTGGGATGGGCAAGGGAATTTAAACAGGGTAGCAGTGCACCACATCCCCTAACTTAACATAACTTCTAGACAACACAGTTTATTTTGTTTCAGAACAGAACATACTATATTAAAAATACATCAAATCAGTAGTTAACAAATAACATAACACTGGTTGTGATTTCACTGTCACTTCATTCCATCAAACATCTTACAATATTCTCATACTTTTCTGCATCTCCTTCTTACTGACATTATTTGAAGATTAATTAATTTTAATAATGGTTTTGTTTCAACAAAACTTTTGCCTAATTTTTCATTAATGATGAAAGTATTGCCATGGAGACCTTGAGAGTGCTGTAAGCAGAATTGTAATGTAGTGTGTTTGGATCACTATAAACAGTTCTTCAGGAATGTGGATTACTGTAATGTTTTGTTTAAAAATGCATAGAGAGGGTTAATTGAGGTATTTATTTTTTATTTAGAAATATTATTCTACTGTTAATGAAGTGCATATCTTATGCCATCATCCAGGTAGCATATTTATAATCTAATAGAAGAAAGTATGATAAATTGTTGTAAAAAATCAGCATTTAGTATTCACAAAAAAAGATTTTAAGTAGCTCATTCTTTTTAATTGTTATTGATGTGTGAGGTTTATGTGGTGGTAAAAATTTTGAGTGGGTCTTTTGGGTTCTGATGCGTTGTAATCTGGTAAGTGTTTATAAATGCTTGGAGTATGTATCATGTTTGGAGCATTGGTAACCACCTTCAAGACTTCATAGTTACACCTGGAAGACCGCAGTTAATTGATATACTATTGAAGTGTTTTGTCTCTTTATAAACATATTTTTTCAATAAATTCTCAGGCTACCAGCCATGTAAGGTGGTATGATGGAGAAAACACCTTTTTGAGAACCATCTTCATCCTTGTCCTCAGGGACGAAGATGGTTCTCGAAATGTTGGTGCTTTCTCCATTAAACCACCTTATACTGTTAGTAGCCTGAGAAGAATTCATTGTACTTAGTTGCTGTGAAAGCTTCAGATCATATGTATTTTTTCAACTTTATAATGCAGTGAATAAGAAACAGTTGTATTGATTGATTAATGTGTAAAGATGACTTGGGTATTTTGGTTATTACAGTTGAAATGTATAAATAGTCATAACAACCTATTTAGGAGTATGGTGTCAAAGAAATATCATCAGTTAAGGGTCCAATTTTCTCCATTACTGTACTTGACTTTTCTGTATAGATAATATAATCTTATGTCCACAGTGTGTTGAAATGTGCAATGTAGCAATGAAAGAAATTTATCATTATGATGAAAGGAACAAACAGGTAAAAGTTTAATCATCGGTCATATTGGTATTGTCAATTTTAATAAATTAAAAAGTATAATGGACAGTCTCTAATGGCATAGTGTCCATACCAAATGTCATTAAAATTAGATGAGCTGCTGTTGAAATATTACATATTTAAAGATGGACATTACAGACAGTGACATCATTGCAGAGGATTATCCTCCCACTGCACAAGTTCAAGTGTCAATCACATTGATATTACTGATTGTAGGAAATTGAAAATTACAAGTTTGAAGTTACATCCAATGGCGTAATTTCCATACAAAATTTCATAAAAATCTGTTCAGCCATTCTCAAGCTGTTACATGTAAGTAGACAAATAGACAAAGTAAACTTCATAGGTGTTCCACATGGATGCTGTGAACACACTAGTAGAAGGGGGGGGGGGCACCATTTACTCTAAAAATGTAGGTGTAAGGTTACTCAGAAACACTAGTAATAACCTACAAGACTACACAGTGCCACATACCAGAAGATCTTAATTTGAATTTCTTCAGTTAATTTATATTTACAACAAAGTAACATCATATATACTATACTGTACAGTATGGTCAGTTCCAAACACACTGCTGCTTGGAGTGGTGTCCATAAAGCAAAGCTTCTAAATATACTGCATAGCTTATTGGTTAAATATAATTTTATAAATATTATCTTTTTGTAAATAAATCAAGTAAATAATATTAAATTGCCATTTTCAAACAAAACCATGATGTAATGTTGTAAAGCTCAACAATCCTCTTCAAGAGACTGAGTATGTTTGTTGCAATTATTTGTTGTCTTTGTTTGATGGAATTGAAAAGGAAACATATTTTCCAATGACTGATTACAACTGCCATTCTCCATTTATTTAGTTAAATCATTGAAAATTGCAAAATATTATTCCGTACATAATTTTGTGTAATTCATTGGCTGTGCATTCTGTACATTCTACAAGAAAAATTTCCTTTGTTAGTATGCCTGTTCATATGTTGAATTATTGGTGAAAATTATTATTTTTTATTTCCAAAAATTGTTTACAATTCTCTTCAATTCTTTGTGGTGTAAATTACTTATTTTCGAAATATGGATTCAAATAGATCATAATCCAGAGAATAGAAACAAGTTCTTTTAAAAGTCTTGAAAGTCAGTACAAGGTTACTGCCTGTAACCCACTTTGTTCTCAGATTCATATCACATTAACATTAAATTCCCTTCCAATTTGTCCTCTTATTATGTCCTGAACCATCAAATATTCATTTCTCCTGTTACCACTACAGTGGAGTAAAAATACAACACACATTTTAATGTTACTCTTAACTCAACATTAACAATTTTTCAGATGAAGTATAATGCATTTTTTGTGAAGCAGTTTAATGTATTTTTGATTATTGAACTGAATATATTTTTGGGTATTAAAAAGTAATCTTTTTGTCAACATATGCAAATGAATATTTTTGAATTGCTGTTAATATTTTTTGTGTGTGTGAGTGTATGATTATAAATGAATAACTATATTTTTTGTCTATTGTTGAAGAAGGAGGTGGAAAAAATATTTATTATTAATCTGCTAATTTGTGTTTCTGTTTTTCTCCCCTCTCGAAAGCATTTCCAGCGGCCGATGATGGGGAGAGGTTTTGAACCGTCAGTTTCTATGGCTTGTTCTATTTCTATATATTGTCAGTCCTGTTTGAAACCATGCCCCATCTCACTTGGTTTCAAGATGAGATATCTTTAACTTACTGACCCCCCAATAATTGTTGTTTTTTTGTAAATGTCTAGCAAGCAAGCAAGCGATGACCACTCACTCTCACATATGCCATGACTTGGATTTGCTTATCACCAGCACACATTCGTATAATCTCTTGAATGTTTTTGGAAAGAAAATTTTTACACACAGCACCTTTATTAATAATTTCATTTATTTAATTACCAATTTGGATTTTATTTTTTATTTTATTATTAATAACTGCACCACTTGTAAATTTAGACTCACTTTCTCTTGCATGCTCAGTTATTTCTGTTCCTGTCACAACAACCCTGCCAACCTAACCACTTGCCACTTCCATTCCAGTTCCTGTTTCTGAGGTCTTCACTTAGGCAGAGCACTGTGTTAATTCACACTTAGGCACTCAACTGCTGGCACTTTATTTTACTGTGGTTAATTCTGCACTTGTGATTTGTGTTATGTCTTGATGTTATGTCTGTATGTGCGTGGGCGTGTGCGTGGTAAACCCTGAGCATTAGTATTTACCATCTTTAAACTTTGTCTTCTCTACATACAAGTCAGTGTTATTTTGCATCAGCCACTTTAAGTGGGACCTTGATATTTTGCTTCTGCATATTTTGTTTTCCCATTTATACTGCTAGTTCTTATGATTAAGGTCCCTATACCTGGAATGTTAACATTTTTTACACACTGCCCCATTGTGACTCAACTTGATGCCCTTAAACTGGATTCACTTGTAATTTTATTTGTGTTAAGTAGAATTTAATGACCTTTTCTTGTCATGTTCACATGCAGTTGGTTGAATTTCATGAGTAAGAGAATTTGGTTTTTAACATAAAATTAAGTGTTCTCATTCTTTTCTTTAGATAATGCCATAATTCATGTTCCTAATTGATAGTCCAGTTTACTTTTTAGACTTGTATTACATTTAGCTGGTGTTTGAACCCCAGATGGCTCAAATAATGCATGTAATATTGTACAACTGAAACAGTGGCAGAATATTAGGTTCTGATTTTTGAATGTACTATGTGAAGGTAAGGAAGATCTTGTGCAGGTACTGAACTAGAGTAACAGATCCCAAACATGTGTATACAGTTTGCTGATGCATCATGGAATCAGTATCCTTTTTACATATAATTTCACAGTTAAATAATACACTTATTGAAGATTTCTGTCTTCTGGGTTGTTTCGCTGTGTAGTCTGGTCGATTTTTAGCAACGTTTCAGAGGTCATACTGCCTCCACCATCAGTGCCCTGATGACGGAGGCAGTATGACCTCTGAAACGTTGGTTAGCATCGACCAGACTACACAGCGAAACAACCCACAAGACAGAAATCTTCATACTCACCGCTGTGAAAACCTCAAATCTTACAATACACTTATTCATTGTTGTGAGGTCACTATAATTAAAGAATGGATACAACATTAATAATAATGTGTAATGTGTATAAACTTGTTTATTGTTTCTATTAATACAATAAGAATCTCTGTTTTCTTTAATACTACCATTTTACAGAATGGTATAAACTGATATGTTCTGTATCATGCTTCAGCATCTTTTAAATTATATTACCAGCAAATGTGAGACTGGAAGACATTCTTACAGTCACACTTTCTACACATATGAGCTACAATCATGGGGTTGTGAAAAGGGAACAATGAAGTAGTGAGTCCATTGACAGGGTATAACTTAAGATATTGATGTAAGACTAGTGGCTTTGACATGTTGACAACAGTATAAAATTGAGCAATGTATGAATCTTCCTGAAACACCCTGCAGGTGGCATAACTTTAAATTATATGCAGTCCTCAAATCCTGTGTTTTATAACCAGCACCATTTTGAAACATGTAAGTAAAGTTTCTAACTTGGAAAATAGGGAGCCAGTGTAGATATTGTCACACTGT